GATATTTTCAACTGGTTTGTCTCTCTGAATACAAAATTCAGAGCCAGACGTCTTATGGCTATACATTTTAAAAATGTAGGTTACCTTAGGCAGAACAAAAATGATTGTGTTTCCTTCCTTCAAATTCCTTCTTTCAAATTTCATTGTTCCTAAATGAGATGCATTTGAAGGTTTAAACTGCAGGGCAGTTAAAACAGATTCACATTATTTGCCTGGAGTATCTTAATCATTGTTCTAACCTGCTTACCTGGGCATGTGTTCATGTAAACCCTATGATATAATGGTTTCCATGTTGTACTAGAGATGCTTTGTCATGCTTTTGGGTTTTTTGGTGTTTGTTTTTTGTTTGGTTGGTTGGGTTTTTGTTGTTGGGCTGTTTTTTTAATCCTGACTGATGAAAAGCTTTGTGCCTCAGAACGGTTCTAAAGTTTAGGTGTGTGTACCTCTAAGTTTGTCCCTATTGGTAAGGAGCGTTTCCAAGTGTAATGTTTGGGTTTTCAGTTCAGTTCTTTGATCTGCCACAGCAGAATTCAGAATGCTGTAGAATCGATATGCTCTGCCCTTAAGAAGAAAGCACACTGCTTTCAAGTGTGTTCTTGAGTTTTCTAGCTAATCCCAAGGAAGGGAGGTGGCCTCTAGAGGAGGAGGCATTTGGCTACACCCTAAAGTTTTTGGAGAAGGAAGGCTGGAGAATCTAAATACTTTCTTCTATGTCATGTTTTATTACATTTAGCTATGCATTTCTCCATAGACCTTGCTTTTTCTAGCAGAAGGGTTGGATTATCCCTTTGTGGACCATGTTTTGTTTGTAAGTCTCAAGATAATTTTCCTATGTACCTTGAAGTAGTAAGGCCAGAATTACTGCTTCAGGGGAAATGGGAGTTGGGGGGAGGTCGATTTTCACGTGCCCATGCCTGGGGTTTGTGCACGTTAAGAACACGGCACTTCAAAGAGTCTGCCAGTGACTTAAGCGCTATATGTAGTTGTATGAAACAAAATTAAGACAAAATTGAGCTAAAATCTGTCTTGCTGCAGAACTATAAGGCTTAAGTAGGTTTTATTTATTAAAAAATATATATTAAAAAAAAAAAAAAGAATAGCTTGAAAGCTTGCATCACCACTAATGTTGCTTAAGCACTTAGGGTAGCCATACATCATTTTGCCATGAGGCAGTATCAGAACACAATACCACTAGAAAAATAGGTCTGCAAAGATGTAGAGGCAGGCATTGTTTTCACTTGCAAGGCTTAAAGTTTCTGGGGTTTTTGTTTGGTTTTTTTTTTAATCCACAAATTACTTTTCCAAACCATCGACAGCTTCATAAATGTTTAGAAAAGTCTTCTTTAGTGTCTTTGGGAAGATGATAAATATTTTGGGAAGATGATAAATATTGAGTCTTGATCTTCTGTTTTGACCAGATGCAACTGACTGGTCCAGACACCTCCAAGCTTTGGGAGAGGATCTGGGATCTGAAGAAGTCACAATTCTGTAGAGATCTTTTAGAGAAGGAAGTCAGCTTCTTTAGAATAGTTGTGGAATGAGGGCCCCAAACTCACTGGCTGGCTGGGATTGTTTTGACATGTGTGTATTCTGATGATGGAATTTGAGGTTTTGGTGTTACGGATTTTTTTTCCCTTGAGCTGTCTTGTTGTTTTTGGGGGTGTTTTTTTGAAATTCCTGTGGAGACAATTCCATTCCAGCCTTGTTTTAATGAGTGGAATTTTTTGGACCAGACCTAATTCCCTTGTGCTGTTCTGTAAGGCAGTATGGACAGTGTCCCTGCTGCTCTTAAAATCATTAAGGTCAGAAAAGACCTTTAAGGTCATCAAGTCCAGCTGTAAACCATGTTATTGTCAGTTGTCAATCATGTTATGGTTTCTGCAGTGTTAAACATACTGTGCCAACAGGGAATTTAAAAGTGGTGCTAAATGGTTTGGAAGACCTTTTCCTAGAACTTGGAGGTTGAAGTTATTAGAACTTGCTCCTCAGAAATAGTTTGCATATGGTGTACTATCTCCAGTCCAGCTGTCAGCTCTTCCTGATTTTTTGTTGTTGTTGTTTGTTTCTGAGGAGTGGAGCGGGAGGAAAGGGGAAGTGGTTTTCTTAGCATTCATTCAACAGGACAATGTTCTTGTTATCCTGGCTTCTTAAGGTCATAAACATCGAACAACACTGGTAGCTTTTAAGGGGTCTGCTGTTGTGGACTTGGATAAACTTATTAGTCATGAACTTGAGTCGGCTGACTAATTTCTGCCAATGTTGATTTTACAAAATCTTTGTAGCATGGAATAACTGATGAAGAATAACTCTTAGCTGCATAAGTAGTATTCACATTTAAAGAAAAATAATATTTTAGTTGAAAAACGTTGTGAAGCTATGCATCTTGGACCTGGGAGCTGTGACTTACCCTTAAACGCATAAGCTTCTGCTTTCCATTTCATTGACCATTTTAGATTTGCTGTTCCATGAGAAGTCAAAGAAAATATTTGTGTCTTTCCCTTTTATATGCTTTTGCTTAATACTTTCTCTAATCTGATAATTTCTCTTGGCTTGTTCGGTTTCTGAAGGTAGTTTTCCAGTCTTATTAGACTTACCTAGAAAGCAAGGAAGAAAAAGCTTGTTAAGGTGGGCTTGTCTTCAGAGAACATTTTAGGAAACTCTTACTAAAACTGAAATTGCCAAGTGTCTTCTCAATTGAGTGACTAATGGGTCATGAGCACAGTAAACTTCGATGTTTTGCAAATGGGAGCAGTTTTCCTCAAGGTCTGCGTTCAGGGTTGGTAAATGTTCCTGAGGTTGCATGCTTGAGCTCTGACGCTTGGTCAGAAATAATAAATCAGCTTTTCTGAGAATCATTCTTGTTGTTGCAAGTTCAGCCACAAAATAAGCTTTTGCATTTTCTGCAATTACTGGGATTTATGCCTTCCTGCCCAAGAGCTGAGTTTGACCACCTATAATTTTTCTCATTTTGAGCAGCTTAGTTTTTCTGGTTTTCAGAAATGCAGCGAACTAGATCTGCACTAGTGTATTCAGTTTCTGTTTTGAAGTAAGATGAAATTCATTTTGTAGTGAAAAAATCTAGTGTTCATCTTGGAAGTCTAAATTCAGGTGAACAAACCAATTTAGTGAGCTCCACTAGATATGGGTAGACATTTTCTTCCTGCTGTATATTTTGGCCTTATGTTGAGGAGTTTGATTTATTATTAAATTATTTGTGTATGCAGACTTTAATCTGTACGTATTTTATTTTGATGTATTAGGATTTGTAAATATTACTGATTTTTAAATATTATTTATGCACATACTTAAAGGACTGGTCTATCCAGAAGAGCAATTGATAAATAATAAATGTTACTTTTTAGAAATAAATTGCAAGATCATGAAATTGTATATCCCTCAGGGTTATTTTTAAAGTGTTTTTTTTTTTCTTTTCCCTTCAGATTCAATTAGCAGTAACTCTAGTTTCATGTACTATAGAACTAAATCTACTGTAAAAAGAAAGTGCTGCAAATAATGCTTGAGTAGAAGCAGCTAAAACACCCACAGAACTGACTGTCCATATTCATTGTAACTTCAAATTGGAAACTCCTACTGTTGCACTTTTAAAAAGTTGTTGGATTTTTAATTCTATTTATTTTTTTCTTTCTTCATGGAGGTTGTGCTTAACAGTCATCCCAAATTGGGTAAATAATCCTGTACTGTGTATGTATATACAGTATAATACTAAACAGATGTGGAGTCCTTTTTATGCTGCAAATTTTTAATGCTTATGTTGGTCATCGCAAAATGAGAGAGCTCAAGTCCTGTAGGATTTCTCCCATGAAATTCTGAATTGTAAACTTAGGTTTTTGTATGTCTAAGGGAAAGCTGTGGGGTTTTGACAATTTTTAGAGTCTTGAATATGTTAATTTTATACAGTAAAGCTTCAGGTTTTTAAAACTATTTTCAACAAACTGCAGCTTGTTTAATAATTATGTGAACCAGAAACTACTCGGTTTGTCATGAATTCCTCAAGCCTAACACAGATTAAAATGTTCATCATTACAGCACTCTCTAGAAGCTCAGCTTCCTTTTTATGTTTAGATCTGAAATGATACTACATCTTTGTATTTAAAATATGTATTGCTGCTCTAGAATGGTACCCTGTTGTCAAGAGGCATACATAAATAACTGTACAATAGAATTGTAAATAGACTTGTAAATCATTTTTGTGACTGAAGCTCTTTGAAAATAAAATTAAAATGAACAGATATTTTAACTCCTTTCATTAGTTTCATGAAATTGCTTTTAATTATTCTGTATGGAATTAGATCCAAAGCTTGGTGAAGAGCACAGACTTATACCCACTGATGTCATGGGTATCTTGTTCAGCAGCTCTGTGTTTTTGAAGGTGGGGATGGAGAAGTTTGCATGCTGTGTGTCAGTGTTCCGCAGTGCAGTCTTACTGACCATAGTTTTACCTGGTGGTTAATAAGAGCTGTTTTAAAGCCAGACCTTGTACATGTGATAGCAACTTGTTTCCACCTTCCATTATTCAGATGTTCCTTTTGTTCTTTGACATGTGGGAGGTGATCTTGAAAAGACTCTTGGGCAAATGCTCCTGGTTGTGAGCTGTCACTGTTGTCATGGTCATTTTCAGAAAAATCACATGGAAATGAAGAAATCTTTTCCATTTTTGGGCTCACCTTCCATTAAAACATTCATTATTTTAAATTTGAAGACAAGATACTTGAAATACCTGGTTACTTAATAACAAAAACTTAATCTTTCAATTTCAAGCTACTATTTTTGAAACTTAGCTTTTTGAAACTTCCCTTTTCTCTTTCAGAATCTTTCAGGCTCTAGGTTTTGTTGGCCTGTCACTCCAGAAGACTTTGAGGAAAAACAGAAACCAAATGTGTCTACCTTGGAATGCTTAGCCAAAGCATTAAGTAAAAAAAATTTAATTCCTTACTGAAATTGCTTTGACTCCAATCCTGCAAGAAAGTAAAAGTCAGAGCAGTTTTGTGAAGGTATAATCACTTGGTTGTTTAAAGTGGATGTGTCCACATCTTTAAAACCTAATGCACCTGTATAGCAGACTGTGGTGAAACTGTCTAACAAATTTGAAATTTCTGACAGTTTGCATGGAAATGTAGATTTCTGACTTCAACAGATTTGCAGTGGGTTGGCTGAAGCCCATACTCCAATATCAATGACGAAAGAAGCTACAAGTGGTTTTTGTGCTGTTGTGCATGTGACTTAAAATTTTTTCCCATTCTGTGAGAGGCCTCAAAATGTACTTTTGGAGTTGCATACAACCTCTGGAAGTTGGTTGTTTGCATAACTAATTGTAGGCAAAAATCTGCTCTGAAGCTTAAAATATTCTTTGGCCTTTCCCAGTAGTTGGGTGAAAGTGTTATCTAGAGGATGCGTTTTGCTGGTTTACTTCCCATTTAAAGTGCAGAGTCATGGTGAAGCCTGATTGCCTGCTATGCTCCTAGTAAGTTCCTCTTAAAGGCAGATAAGTTTCTAAGATACAGCTCAAAATTCCTTTCTCATGCTTGTGTGAGTTTAGGAACTTGGAAGAAAGTAAAAAAGGTAAGCACCCACTGTAAGTGATATGTGTGCTCAGTGTTCTGTGAAACTAAGTTCAAAACTGATTTGAGACTTTTAATATAGTAACAGTATTCATGTGTTGCTTCTGGCATCCTTTTGTCGTTTTGAGAAACATTAAGGGTGGCAGAAAGGGAAAGAGGCTGTAGATCAGAACGTGGTAAATGACCAGCCAGGCTGGTGCCCTTTCTGGAATGCCAGGTGTCTCACGTGAGGGTTGGAGAAAATTCTCATACATGGGGATGTATAGTTATGACCTTGATTGTGGGTATTACTGTCTTTTGTACTGTTAAGATCTTCAATTATGGAAATCTAAATATTTCTTCAAGAAACACCATCAGCAGCTCTCAGTGTTTGAGACCCATACAATTATCCAGTTGTGCCAGTCACACATGCTTGTGGCATTCAACTCTTGCAAAGAATTTCTACTATTTCATTGTTTGTAAAAACTAGCACTTCTGAGCTCTAACCTTGTCTTATTGTATACTCCTACCTTTTGTTATGAGACCAGAAAAACAGACATCAAGGGTAGCGTATTTCTTATTTTACAGACTCTGGCCTGTAGTTATGCCCTCTGAGGGACCTGCATTTGCAGTCTATAGCATAACAGTTTCAGGGGTTTTTCCTGTTTGGTTCTCTATATCCTTACTTCTCTTGTCTCACCTAATTTTGTAGTTCTGCTGTGGTCTTGGGTTGAGTTGGTGCAGGTTGAGATGCCATCAGGGCTTGAAACAGAAATTTCTTAGTCTGTTTCTGCATGGAGGGTGCTGCTTATGGGGCTTGGCTGGGTTACAAGTTTATTGAGGCAAAAGCATCACTGGTTTCTGAGAGAGAGTCAGTTTGGAGGGTGGAGATTACTAGGAGAGTGAGATTCTCTGGAAAATTCTCGTTTAACGTGGAAAAAGACCTTTGGAAGAGTGAAATCTTGTGCTCTCTTTTTGTGATGCACGTCTCATTCAGTGAGCTGTGGAAGGCCTGGTTAAGATCTTGTTTTGTGGCTGGTAGTTGATACCACTGGATGCCCTGTCCTTCCCTTCCTGAGGAAGGGATGCAGATTTTACCAGACTTCAGTACTGTGAACCTAAACAACATTTTTTTGAGTTTGTTTTTTTTCCAAGCACTTTTTTTTTTAATGCAGCAGCTGCTTTGGATCTGCAGCTGTTTCAGGTCTGTGTGGTGTGGTATGTTCTTGTCAGCAGTTCAGGTGCACAAGAAGCTCTGCTATTCCTCTTGACTTAAGTGACGGGAGTTGTACCCATGTCTGTCTGTGGGGTTGGTATGAGAGACCTTTGTCCTTGCCCCTGGCAAAGAGTATGTTGGGATGGAGTCCTTCTCTCCCACAGCATTCCTGATGCAGAAGACAGCTATTCCAGTTATGTCTGTGGAAGTTGTCTAGCTATTCCAGCTGTCCCAGCTGCTGCTTATCCTGCTGCTCAGGCAGGTGCTTGACATCCAGGTTTATGATACACTTGGACTTCTTGATTTCACTAAGGAAGTATTTCTAGACTCTGGATTTCTGTTTAACTTGCTCTTTTAAATATTACTGCTTATAGCTACAATGATTGCTTTCCTGTTCCTCTTTTTGTTTGGAAATCTATACAACTCTCCAGTGTTGTGGTATGTTTCATGCAGATTCACCTGTATTGCTACAATTTTCTATCTAACTTCATGGCACTTCTCTCATTTCACTGTTTTTTTTTTAATACCAGGGATAACTTAGTGTTGCATTAAGCTGTTGAAATGAGACTTGTTGGTTATCAGAGGCTCACTACTGTCTTGTGCCATGTGGGCTCTTGTGTGTTATTGAAGGCTATGTCAAAAATAGCCTGTAGCTTCTTGTGTGTTCTTGGGCTGTTCCAAGAAGTGGTCACTTGAAAATGCTGAGACATGATTTAACTGAACTGTGCTGTTTTGCTTTTTGCCACTTAAAATACAGGATGCCCTTTTTACCTCCATTGTCTGTTTTTGCAGGCTAAACTTTATTTTTAAACCTCAGATAACCTACAATAGGAAAACACTGTGGGTGCAGGACCTTTTGATAATTTTTTAAAATGTTTTCTGCATGTAATTTAGTATAATGTACTAAACCTTGTCGAGTGGAAGGTGTCCCTCCCTGTCCGTGGTTGGAACTAAATGATCCTTAAGGTCACTTCCAACCCAAACCATTCTGTGATTTTGTAATGCTTTTCTGTTCAAATAAATACATATCTTATGACTACTTAGAGTTTCATCATGCTTTATATGCTTTCATTATACTTGACTAGAACAAATATAAACAAGGAATACTTAATTTACAAAAGACCTTTATCTGTACTTCTCAGCGTAAGCTGAGCAGCTTATAAATATTTGCAGTAACAGAGATTTTGAAGTTTGCTTTCAAGCCAATAGAAAATTTGCACACATTTGCAGGTTTTATGATATAATCACACATCTTTGTGAGCTGCTAAGTTATTAACTACCTGTGATCAAATGCTGCCTCTCTCTTATCTCTTGTAACAGCTAATGTTTCTGGCACTTCAGCAAGGATGTTGGTGTTCCATTTGTCACTGATGATCAAGCTTTTCTTCCAGTTGGATGCATCAGTTTGTCCTGACAAGTGTGACTGCTCTTCAAAAAATGCAATTCATTGCTCTGGTCCCTACATAAAAGACCTGGAATCTTTAAATCTGCCTTGCAACATGACACAAATCCACATAACGAACACTAATGTGCCGTACTTGCAGGATGTTTTTTCTAGGATGGTGGAACTTCAGCATCTCATCTTGTCTTCAAACAACATCTCTCTAGTTTCACCAATGGCTTTTAAAGGCTTGAGAAGTCTGAAAGTCCTCACACTGCTAGATAATAAGCTTGTTGAGCTTCCTCCAGAAGTGTTTGATGACATGGTGCAGCTTCAGCAATTGATCATCGAAAGTAACAGGTTGAAATCCATCGAGGAAAATCTGTTTGACAAACTAGCTAGTTTGGAAGAACTTTATTTGAACAAAAACCAACTAACAGCACTTCCCAGTGATGTGCTGAAGAATCTTATCAAACTCAAAGTACTGAACTTGTCAAGAAATTACTTAGCAGCACTGCCTAGAAATATATTCAGTGCATTAACCAGACTTGAGAAGCTGATGCTGTATTTTAACAGGCTGTCTTCAATAGAGTCTGGTATGTTTGATAAGCTGACAGAGCTGCAGGAACTCTTCCTGCATTGCAATAACATCCAGTCCATTGCCCCTGATGCATTTCATTCTCTTCACAAACTGAGACGCCTGACGCTCTCCAGAAACAAGCTTGAGGTTTTGCCTTCTGGGCTGTTTTTGCACTTGCATGACCTGTGTAAACTGACCTTATACAGGAACCCACTGAAGTCTCTTCCAGAAGTATTGTTTGGAGAAATGAGGCATCTTGGTAGCCTGTGGCTGTATCACACAAAGCTCTCAACAATACCAGACTTTGTGTTCAGTAACTTGACAAATTTAGAGCTTCTTGTGCTGAGTTTTAATCCAGAGCTTACGGTTCTTCCTAGGAATGTATTCAGTGGCCTGAATGAACTGCGAGGCCTTTCTCTGCATACAAATAATATTTCCAGATTGCCAGAGGGCATATTTCTGAGCCTTCAGAAACTGCAGAACGTTTCCCTCTTTGATACAAGGCTTGAGGTTCTTCCTAGAAACCTCTTTCATAGTCTCAAGCACCTCCAGAAGGTTTACCTGAATAGTACTAAGCTGCAGTCTCTTCCTGCAGATTTCTTTGCTGCTTTACCTGAGCTGCAAGAAGTTGTTCTTGACGACAACCCTTGGAAATGTGATTGCCAAATTCTTGGTTTCCGAGAGTGGCTCCAAAAGAGCATGGAGATAGTTAAAGATGTGCCATCTCTAATGTGCCACAGCCCGCTGGCACTGCAGAATATTTCTCTTGTGGCTCTAACTATCAGTGACCCGAAGTGCCTGCCAACCACAGCCATTACGTATCAGACATTCAGCTCAACTTATTCCCAGACCTTGATGTCTCCTGTGATGGAGCACTTTAGATCATCTTGGGAGATTTCTGTAACAGCAGTGTTTGACATGGGAAGCAGCACACCCACATCAGTTCCTCCTGAAACTCCAGGTTTTACCTACTCCCATGTTGAAGATGTTGAACAGCCTGGATTTAGTTTCTCAGATGTTCCAATACAAACTTCTCCCAGCGTCATAGCACAAAGTGACAGTGTCAGAGGAACAGATTTAACTACTCTTGTCTGGTGGGATGGGTTGCCAGCCCACAGAAGTGCTAAACCCTATTTTAATACCAGAATTGCTTATTGCCAGCTATTCTTGTGCCTTCACAGTTTGATTTTAGCACTCCAGACCGTAACCATTGTGCTCAGTCTGTATGTGATGGGTAAAACCAGGCAACTTTTGCACTCCAGAAATACTTCTGCTCAGCCTGTAGTACTGATAAGATTGTTAAGAAGATAAATCATACTAGCCCAAGAGAGGATTAGAAGCATTGCCTTGGATGCAATTTGAGCAGTTGATACTCAACTCAGATCTGGATTACAAATCTTCATAGCAAGGACCATAAAGACCTTGTCTGTACAGCATAATGAAAATGTGCTTTTACGTACATCACAGTTTTTGCCAGAAGTGGCTGTAATCACTGTACATTGCTGCAGCACTAGGTGCAGGAACCCAGAGGGAGAGCTGAAAGTGCCTGTGGTCACCTCTACATGTCCTCTGTGCCGTTTCCTGCTTTGGCCTTCAGCCCTGTCCCTGCTGGACACTGCTGCCTGTCCTCATGGTCTCACTGCTCCGGTGGAGTGGCATCAACATAGGGAGCTCTGCAGAGGAACATGGCTTTAACTGTGCTTCAGAGAGTGCCCAAAGTACTCCAAATGCTCTTATGCCTTAGACTGCCTGTAATGTTTTAGCTCCTTATTGAGAAAACAAATGGTATTTTTGGGAGGAGATGCTGGGAAAGACCTTTTAGCAGTGGGAGTGTGGGTGGAATGGTACAGTGCAAGTGTCTTAGCTTTTGCTCTCTGTTCTCAGCCCCTTTCCAGGATGTGGCACAAGGAAGGGGTACCATTTAAAGCTAACAGCAGAGGAAGATGCTGAGATAGGAAGTATAATCGATATATTTTATTGTTTGATGGGGAGGGGGGGGTTGGAAAATTTGTGAAGTTACTACAACTCTGAATTTTAAGTAAACACTTTTGTTCTTAAACTTTGGCCAGTGGTCTGAAAAAGCAAGGTATTACTGGCTGTGTGATGCAGGGAATCTTGAAACCGGAATAAAAGGCAGATTCCAAGAGGGAGGCTGGGCTCCACAGGAAGGTATTAGATTGAGAGCTGGTCTTGACTGAGGTGGGAGAGAAAGGCAGGGTCTCTTCTGGGCTCGGCTAGCCAAACAGGCGTGCAGCCAAGTGGCAGGGAGCCTGCCTGAACTGAGGGCCCTGAAGTGTCACCACCATTTGAAGCTGACTGGGGAACATACACAACTCCATCAGCTCGGAGTGTGCAGAAGCATTTTCAGTCTGGCTATTTTTTACCTTTTTACATAGTGCTGCTACCTGACTTCCAGGCCTTTCAAGTGTTGATATGCAAAGGCAACTACGAGGCAATAATGTGGGGTTTGGTCTGTATTCCAAAATGCTTATTATTATTTGAATTATATAAATACTTTAGTTTGTAAGTAGACTGGTAGCTGTCAGACTGCCTGTGCTTTGGTAGCTCTTGGATTTAACTATTAGCTTTTTATCCTAATTACGTGACCTAGCTTGCTCTTAAAACCTCTGATGCTGTGCTTAAAAACCTTTGGATGTGGTTCCCTGGCTACTTGGACCAGAGAGCCTGTACTCCAGGAGTCCTTTTTTAGTTGTACTGACTTTCTAACTATTGAGGGCTTTCCTGGATGGCCTTAAAATGGTACAATACAGACCTGAGCTGAAGAAAGCTTGCATTTGCTGCAGATTTGTGGCTGGTTCCCTTCTGTGTGTTACCCTAGGCACCGAGAATAAAGTATTACTCCTTTGTTTCAGGGCATTCTGCTGCTGGGCTTGAGTTCCTCTTCCAGGCTGTGAAAGGAGGTAACGTGACTCTGTGGTGTGAAACGACCATTGTCTTGCTGTGAGGTTTAACAAAATTTAGTAAGCCTGGATAAATGGAAGTTAGAACCATCTCTAAAGAAGCAGAAATGCCAGTCACTACAGCTGGTGCAAAGCAAACTATGACTGGATTCAGAAAACATGCTCCAGAATTTTTATTGCAACACATTTGAGAGAAGAACAGAACCAAGAGGAAGCTCTCTTGGTGGTGGCTCTGGGTGGTTGCATGCTGGTGTTTAAAAGGAGACAGTTGTTACAAATTTAGGTTCTTGCTGGACAGCTGTAATGACCACTTAGTGTTGTGCCAGCTCCAGCACTGTCATATGGTGCCACGCAGGCATCTGCTTCCAGCAGCAGGAGATCAGTATAATCAGGACTAGCAAGAAAATGGTTCTACAAGCCATGCTGGTGATCATTCCTCTTGGAGAAGGAAGCGTTCTCCTGGCTCCAGGCATGCACAATATCTGATTTCTAAGGAAAAGCACCTGTTTGCTCACCATGTGGGTGTAGGATACCCTGATGTCTGACCTTGGGGAGGGCTGTGGGGCAGCACCAGCTGCTGTTTTCCTGAACCCTCCTCTAGCCACCCCAGCCCTTCAGAGAGGCCAGCTGGGCCCCCACGCTGCTCCTTGGCTCCCACATGAAGTCAGTGAACTCCAGCTCTGGTACGTGGGGGCTCTGGCAGGCGGCTGCATACAGGCAAGTGCTAAGAGGAGGATGATTCCTCTTCACATGCTGTCATCGGGCTTTCCCCATGCTTGAGCCAGACGGGGAAGTGAAGTCATCAGGAAACAAAAGGCTGTAGCAATGAGTGCCTGGGTTGTTTTACTAACTCTTCCTCTGAAGTGTCCTGTTTTGATTGCCTGTGATTCATTGTCTCTTGCCCAGCAGAGCTCAGCCCTTCCTGAAAAATTCCCTGGCCTGAAAAATCCAAGGATATCCTTATTTGTACCCCATCTCTGTTCTTCTCGGAGAAGGAAAAAGGTCAGCATGGTGCAGCTGTGGCAGGCAGAAAGGCAGCAGGGGGTTCTTGGGAAAACTGCAGCTGCACCTCAGACCCTCTCTGGGCAGCCTTGCCTGGCTGCTGCCTCAAGGCACCAATCCCTTGCTGTTGAATGGACAAGGTTTTTCTCCGTCCCTGCAGCCCAGGCCTCCATGATCTACTGCCCAGCCTTTGCCACCAGGAGACAGTGGGCTGGAAGAGCTGGAGGTACCTAATCCCTGGTCCAGCAGGTCCTGGCTACTGGGGAAAGGGTGACTGCAAAGCCCATCTGCATAAAGTGGCTGTATTTAGGAAATCCTGGAGCAGTGGGAGCTCTGAACTGTCCTGTGCTAAGCCATGGGGATTATGCACTGTGTTTCCAGCCTGATGTCACTACAAAAGCCATTCTCCTTTGCTTGTCATAAGTGCTGGCAGCTCTGCCTGTTTCCCAGCCACTGCAGGATCCTTCCAAGCCATCCTTTGCTTGTGTCCCTGGTGTCCCTGTCCTTTCCATCTCACCTCTGTTCCTGTGAGCCCAGGAACTGCTGGAGGGCCCTTGCCACTGCTTGCAGAGGGCAGTGAGCTCAGGCAGCTGCCTGGGACATGCCGCTTAGCCCTCCAGCACACAGCAGCAGGATCAGAGCCTGCACCTTGGATCTTCCCTCTCCTGGTGGCAAAGAGAAGCTGGGTGATGGCAGGTGTGCTTGGAGAAGACAGAGTGCTTTAGGAGTGTGTGTGACTGCAGGCTTCGAGGCAGGAGCCCTGGGAATTCCTGCATGACATTATGGAGCATTGACTGTGTCTCCTCCAGGCCTTCCACCAGCAGGTCTTGCCTGGGGCTGCTGATTCGGCAGCCCTGATATCGGACCATTTCCTATGGATGACAGAGAAGCGGGAGGAGACGCAGCCAAAGGCACGTACCCTCTGGACAAGGCTGGAGCTGTGTGTTTACAGACTCTCACAAGAGTCAGGGGCCCTGAAGCTCCTGCTTTGTCCCTTCTGGGAATGAACAAGCTAAGGAGGTGTCATGCTTCCATTTTTGTAGCCAAAGTCTGGATCCACATTCCCTTCTCTTCTGGGTGTTTATGAATGGATAAACCCTGGCACAGCCTCTTGCTTGGGCCATAGGGGGTGAGTCCCACTTCACTACAGGGTGGGGGGCTGCTGTTCCAGCAGCACCCGGAGCCATCCCCTACCGCTCCCCCACTGAGCTCAGCCCCTCGTGTGCAATCTCTGCTGTAGGACTGATGTGCCAGGCTTCCAGCTGTGCCTTTATGTCTCTCTGGTGGAAAAAGCTTGGGGCAGAGAGCCAGTGATGGCTGACAGCAGTTCTGCAGCCTGCTGAACACTCCTCTGCTGTCTTCCCCCGGGGAGAGATAGGGTCCCTTCCCCCTACGGATGTTGGGAAGAGGTCCCTGGGACCCTTCCTGGTGCCTGGAGGGGCTTTACAGAGATGGATAACAAGGTGAAGCTGGTCCAGCAAACACCTCACAGTGCACGAGCCCCACGCCATCGCCTCCTGCTCCAGCCGGTCCTTCCCCCCTTTCCCAGAGCCCATCGGACAAGCTCTTTCCGCTTCGGATTATCTCTCCAGGCGGACTTGGCTTCGAGCCCCACATTCCTTCCAGCCTAGTGCTGCCCTGAGCCTGCGCCAAGTCCTGCATGATTCTGCTCTCACTCGGGCCAGGGCTGGGCCTGGAGGAGACGGTTCTGCTGGTGGAGTGAGCCCCACTAGTGCTGAGATCCTAAATACCATTTTCCTTGAGCTCCAGGAGGGTTGTGGTGTGCTTAATGTTGGTGATTGGATGGAGGTTATCCTGATGGCCATCCCTGCAACCATCCTGGAGGGACCAGGGCTGCTGCTCCCTCCCAAAGCTCCCACTTTGCATAAACACTTTCCCAGGGAAGGCAGGATGTCCCCAGCCCTTGGGGCAGATGCAGAGAGGGCATCATCTGGCCCTGCATTCCCTGAGCAGAAGGCTGAACACACCACTGGGGTTGGATCATTGCCTCTATCAAGGAGCTCTCTCATTTGGCTTCCTCAAGGGATTAGGGTGGGCACAGGGTGAGGTAGGGGCTTACTGGTGCTTCTCTAAGGGCTGGGGGGCCCAAGCACTAGTCCCTGAGGGACTGATGCCCCTTTCCTCACCCCTCAGCTCTGGTTTGAGCCTGTGGGTCCTGCTGCAGGGCTCAGACCCAGAGATGTTCCACTATGCTGGAACATGGGGAGGATCCCCTCCTTGGCCCCTAGCCCAGCCCTCCACCCTCCTCCTCCACTTCAGCAGAGTTTGGCCTGACACCCTGGGCCAGCCGATCTCCATGAGCACCAGGGGCCAACATGGGGGTTTCTTGTAACAGGGCTGCCACTTTGCAGCAGTGCAAAGTAACTTGGGGGGATCCCAGCACTGCACTGTGGGGGGTGGTGGGGCCTGGGGATGTTCCATCCCACCAAGGGTGCCAATTTATCCAGGAGCTAGAGGTGTGCAGGGAGCAGGGACTGAGGGGGGAGCGGGGGCTGCGGGGAGCGGATGAGTGTGCTCAGCTGCTTGGCAGATGAACAATGCGCTCTCCCAGCCAAGCCCACAAGCTACTAATTTTAGCGATTACATGAATTTTTCCAAGCAGTCTGGAGTCCCTTGTTGATTCAGAGCTGCTCGGCTTTGCTGCATCCGCCACCCTCGCTGTGGAGATGTGCTGGAGCAATGCCAGCATGGACAGACAGACACGGGACTGGTATGCTGTCCTGTAGCAAGGCAGACCTCCCTAGTAATAAGTGACACTGCTCTTCTGGGCCTCCTTGGAGGTGCAGGGATTTGGCAGTGGCTCCACAGCATCCCAAGCTTTGTCAGGGGAGTTCAGCCTCTGGCTGGTGTGGCTGGAGGTGGGAAAGGTCTGCAGAGCAATGCTGGAATGGGGCTTTTCCCCAGCATGAGACTTGCTTCACTCCATCCAGCACTGTGTGGATATGTGGAGTAGCCTCTCCCTGCAAAATGCTAATTTCACCCTCAGGCACATCCTTATGTCGTCTCCCGAGCCGCCTCTCCCCTCCAGATGTGTAGGGCGTGTCTGTGCTGCTCTCACACCCTCTGCTTCTCTGCCTTGCGAGTAGCCTGGGGCGAGCTCTCATGCGCTCACCTCCGGGAGTGGGAGTGGCTGCGGAAGTTGTGCACAGGCTTGTGCCTTTCTCTTTAGGAATGTCTTGAGAATAAGTCATCCCTTCCTAGCCAGAGCCAGGTTCCCCAGGCCCAGATAGAGGCTGGTGGGTTTTTGTTAGAGCTGTTAGCTGGACTTCTCTGAAACTCTGGGCACTCTGCGTGGCAGTAGGGACCATAATCTGATCACCCTCATCTTGGAGCAGGGTGTTTGAGGGTACTCACCACTGAATCCCTGGGGCAGCACTACTTGGAAGGAGATGAATCTGACATTCCTCTGTCAAGTTGGGCTTGGGCATTGGAAGTGCTGGGATTTAGTTTGTGTTGCCTTGCTGAAAAGCTGTGTGCTTCTGGGTGAGTCAGAGTGGGCAGGAGCCCAGCAGCGCTGGCAGTGGGCAGACAGAGCCCGATAAGGCCGCCAGAGCCCCCCTCATGCCTGGACTGCAGGGAGTGGGCAGCTCCCAAGCCTTGACCTCCGGCTGCACTGCTGTCAAGGAAGCGGGGAGATTATTTTGGGAACCACAGTTCTGGGAAAATCTGCTGTGTCAATAGAGTGTGAGCTAGAGCACTTGGGGGGTGGTGTTTTTGAAATGCCCTTTCTCTGTGCCCAAATGTCTGGGTTTTGCTCTGGAGCAGTCAGGGAGCATGGCCGGGGAGTTGTTTCAGCCTCTGTGCTCAATCCCCAGCTGGGAAGGGGTCCATGGCCATCCAACATGTCCTATGGCAGCCAGGGCTATGGCAGTCATGGCAGTTGCCTCTGGCTGAGGTCCCACTCCCTACCATCTTCCCACGATCCCAGTCTCCTCCTTCCAAGACTGTTTGGGAACTCTGCTCTCCATCCTTGCAGTTTTCTGTTTATCCTGGTCTAGTCCCCTCTCTGAACAGGATCGCTGTCCCTTCCACTGCCCTGCACCCTCCCACCCCTCACAGCACGATATGCTGCGGCGTGGGGATGGAGGCCACCTTCCTCCCCCTTCTCCGGCAGCGGCACCATGCTGTTCCCATCTTGAGCAGCTTGTCAGCACCAGCTGGGACCTGAGCTGCTGCAACTGATGGAAACATGGGTGGGCTCAGACAGGATTAGATGTGGTCAGGCAAGTTCCAGCTGCCCTGTGGTTAGCACAGGACTGCTCTGGCTCCAGGAAGCCCAAAGGGGCCACATATGCTGACTCTCCTTAGCTACTTCCTCCAGAATATCCGCTCCTGTTAGCTGCTGGACTGGGACTGCCCTGGAGAGGTGGGCAAGGTGGGGAGACCTGGGCTAGGTGGTGGGGACCAAGGGCACCCTTGTGTACCCATGTAGGTGGAGGGGGGAAGGGTAGGGATGGCATCAGGTGCCCCTGAACAAGTGCATGGGATGGCTTGGATGCTTCCCAAACACCCCTGTGTGCCAGGCTCCATCACCTGTGTGTCAGGACTGCTGAGGGTTCAGAGCAGAGGCAGCCCCTGGGAGATGGCAGTGTGTGCTGCTCTGGAGTTGCAGGGATGCCTGCAATGGATGTTCCTAAGTGCCCAAGTGTTCCTCATGGCTAGTGGGAAGTGCTCTGGCTTGGGCTGAGGGCTCTCTGAAGCAGCCTGGCACCTGCACAGCCACGGGCTCTGGCGTGGTGCCTGCTTCCTGGCAGGGCTGGTTGAGGTGCTCACAAGACAGAGCCTGGAGTGTGTCCTCAGGGGTTCCTGGCCTGTTTGTATCTGTGACTGTAGGGGGAATAAGAGCTGTGGCATGGGCAGGGTCAGTGTACTGGGGGTCTACCTGTGCCAGCAGTCCTGGGCAGGAGGTCCTGACACTTGCAGGAGCCATAGATGGGGAGACAAGTGCTATGTGGGGGCCGAGGTGATGCCATGGAGCAGCCCTGGTGTGAAGAGTACCAGTGAAGGGCACACAGCTGTCCCACTGGGGACCAGGGGGGTTCCTGGGGCCAAGCTGCTACACTGGCTGACATGAGCAGCATGTTCATGGGGCTGTCTTCTTGTCTTCAAACAAGAGGACTGGGGTTCAGGAGAGTGAAACTCCATCCTTGAGATGCTTGCTCTGCCAAGGAAATAGGAGCTGGAAGCAGCTCTGCTCCGGCGCTTTCCCTAACCTCGACACTGCCCCTGTGCTGATTCATTGATTTGGACGGGTTATATACTGGGAGGGGAAGCATGAACCACACTCAGCTCTCTTGCCAGCACATAGCTGTGCTCACTCGGCGTTCGTGGCTGCAGGACACTCGGGTAAGTCTCCTCTCTGCTAGCAGCCCTGGGTCTGGGTGACTGCCAGGGCAGCTCCAAGGGTTGGTGGTGCGTTGGTGGGATCTGCATGTTCAGCACCTTTTGATTTGATGGAGATGTTTGTCTTGCAAGGCTTCTCCAAAAAAAGTGAGACCACTTAGACACTGTGGGAGCTGAGAGAGTTACTCGGGCAATGTATCCCAAATAATGACCAATAGAGAAAATTAAGGGAGGCAAAGTAACATTTTGGGGGGCTAATGTTAGGAGCAGTGGGATGCTGAGGGGCTGAGCAGTAGGGAATATTCAGCCTCTTGGTCTGTAAATTTTTTGCCCCTAGAAGAAAAAAGAAGATCAATTGTTTCCAGCTGCCTTTCCTGAAGATCTCTCCAGTATGGATGCTCTCTGCTCTGCATTACCAGGGAGTGACATGAGCCCGGCTTTTGATGTGCTGATTCTTTGGGGAAGTTTATAAATGGCTCACTATAAACAAAGCTGTTCTTGGATGCAGATTGTTTCCATATGGGAAACATAAACTCTTGTGGCTTATGGAGGGTTCCTCCCTCCCTGCCTGAGAGAAAGCATGTTCCTTGGAGGGAGTGCAGGGAGGGGGACAGGGGCTGTGCTCCAACACCCTGGGGTGCTGTGCCAGCTGGGGCACTCTGCACCCCTGTGCTGCTGGACTCGCCTGTTTGGCTGAGCTGTGCTCGGAGCTGAAGGTTTTCCCCCTCTCTTGTGCCTTCAGAGCTGTTAGAGGGAGTCTGCTCTGCGGCAGCCTGGCACAAGGCTGCTGCTTTAATCTAGGGAGGGAGGAGAGGGTTCCATGGTGTCTGTGCTTGTAGGGGAATGGAGAACTTCACTGTAAAGCCCTTGCTTCCCTAAGCACTGCCCCTGAGACCAGCCTGCAAAAGGTGCCCACAACAGACAACCCTGTTCTCACGGCAAAAACCAGCCAGGGTTGAAACCTTCTGCTGGGAATGGGGTGAAAAGAGGGCCACCCCTGTACCCAGCCTGTGCTGAGGAGCTGGCAAGGGTCCTGTTGACCCAAGCTGCTGCAGGATGAGCTAAAGCATGTCTGGGTGTTGGGTGCTGGCACTGCTCTTGGCTCTGCAACAGGCGCTCAGAGCTGCTCTCTGCCAAGGCAGAGCTGGAAGGGTACTCATGGATGCTGGGGGGAGCACCCAGCACCCTGGGTCCTGTGTGGCTGCAGATGCCCCAGGCTGGATCTGGTGAAGTTCTGGGCTGTTCGGTCGTGCCAAGAGGCCAGTGCTGCTGGTAGCAGCTCATCACACTCCGTAAAACATGAAACCATGGTCCTGGCTGCCAAAGGAGCCAAGAGAGGTAGGATGCCAAGGATGTTGCTAATAGCCTTGGTATGGCAGCCAGGCACTGTGGCCCCCAGCTCTGTCTCACTTTGCACTCCTGCTTGGGCTGTGCCAAGCCCTCCCTGCTCCCAGCCTTCCTCACCTGCCCTCCTCTGCCTCACTGCCATGCTGGGGACAGCATGGCCACAGACTTGGTGGCTTTTTCCAGGGACAAAGAACCTTCCAGCTCCCTGGCAGTGGTCCTGGGAGCTGGGAAATTGCAGGAGCTGAACCCCCCACCTTTGTTTTTGCAGGCCCAATGGAGCAGGGAGACTGGCAGTGGTGGCTGCTGTTGCTGGTGGGCATCCAGCTGGCCAGTGCCCAGTGCCCAGAGCAGTGCCAGTGTGTCCGCAGTGCCCAGGTGGAATGCTCTGGTGCCGACATCACCACGGTCCCCAGCCCCATCCCTGAGAATGCCATGACCCTTCAGATCATTAACACGCGCATCACTGAGCTGGGTGACGCGTCCTTTGGCAACGCCTCCCTGCTCATTGGGCTGCGCATCGAGAAGAACAACCTGTCCCGCATAAGCCCCGGGGCCTTCCAGCACCTGCCTGACCTGCGCTATCTCAGCCTGGCCAGCAACAAGCTGCAGGAGCTCCCTGTGCAGGTCTTTGAGCCTCTGGACAAGCTGGAATCTCTACTCCTCTCCAGTAACCAGATCCTCCAGATTGAGCCTTCCCACTTCACCTACCTAAGCAACCTCAAGGAGTTGCAGCTACACGGGAACAACCTGCAGGAGCTGCAGGAGGGGGTGTTCGACCAGCTCACCAGCCTCATCAAGCTCAACCTGGCGAGGAACAACATTGACCACCTGCCACCCCGGGCCTTCGAGCGGCTGGCACGGCTGCAGGTGCTGCGGCTCTATGAGAACCGGCTCCGGCAGATCCCAAAGGGAACCTTTGATGGGCTGCCAGAGCTACAGGAGCTGGGGCTGCACCAGAACCAGCTGGAGACACTGTCCCCGGAGCTCTTCATGCACAACAGCAACCTGCAGAAGCTCTACCTGTCCAATAACCTTCTCACCACTCTGCCGAGTGGCATCTTCCTGCCCCTGCACTCTCTTGCCAAGATCACCCTGCACGTCAACCGCCTGCGGGACATCTCCCCCAGTGCCTTTGGGCCCATGCCCAACCTGCGGGAGCTGTGGCTCTACGAGAATGAGCTTTCCAGCCTCCCCACTGCCGTCTTCAGCAATCTCACCCAGCTGCAGCTCCTGGTTCTCAGCAAGAACCGGCTGCGGTCGGTGGCACCGGGGGCTTTCCAGGGCTTGGGGGAGCTGCTGGAGCTGTCGCTGCACTCCAATGCCCTGCGCCGCCTGGATGCCCGGGTGCTGGAGGGGCTGCCCAAGCTGCAGAACATCTCCCTGCACCACAACCAGCTGCAGGCACTGCCGCGGGGCCTCTTCAGGGCCACCCCTGGGCTGCAACACCTGCAGCTGCATTTCAATGGCCTGGAATACTTACCTGCTGGCATCTTTTCCCCCCTGACTACCCTTCGAGAGGTGAGGCTGCACAACAACTCCTGGTGCTGTGACAAGGGCATCCTGCCCCTGCAGGGCTGGCTGGTGGACAACCCCCACAAGGTGGGTGAGACACCCCCGCTGTGTGCCCAGCCTCCTGCCCTGCTGGGCACCCCCATCGCTGAGCTGCCACGGTACCAGTTCCTCGCTACCCCCACTGCCTCCCCTCATCCCAGCACCCAGCTTCCTGCTCACAGCTCTGAGGCAGCTTCGCTGGAGGGCGCCTGGACGGAGCCCCCCGTGGGGCTGCCGATCTCCCCACGGGAGGAGGAGAAGAAGGAGGAGGAGGAGAGAGGGCAGTTCGGGCTGACACGCATACAGAGCGGGGTAGTGGTGGCAGTCATTGTGCTGGTGTGTGTGGCCCTGCTTGCTGCTCTGGTGGCATTGGTGGTCTACGGCTGCAGGAAGAAGAGCCACGTCGTGCTTATGAGGATGAAGGCGCCGAATGAAGCCTGAGTGTCTGACAGACCCTGGGGGGAGAGGTGCTCGTGGGGCATGCCCTCTCTGTGGGGTCAAGGGACATGACAGTGACTGCATCAGCTGTCCTTGCTGACTGGGATGGGACAACATCACCCTGTGTGCTGCATGTACTGACCACTGTCCTGCTCTGCTTTGCCCTGCCCCCGCTCTGCAGCAGGACATCCCCTGGGTGATCTCCTGTGGCTGCCCTCTATCCCCAGCCCCTCCTGCCTCCAGTGCAGCCTCTGTGCTCATTCCCTGCCCAGGATCCGGCAGCTGGGGTGAGAGGTGCTGAGATGGATCTCCTGAGCCAGGAGCCACAGCCTGGTAATGATGGTGCTTACCCCAAATAACAGGACCTCCCCATCATTCAGCTTGCATCCTTCCCTGCAGTGCTTCTGCTCTCGTGTTGCCTGCTGCCCTCATCCCTGCCCAGCCCCTCTTCGCCATCCTCTGCCCCTGCCTTGCCTTCCCCTTGCCCCTGCCTGGACAGGCAGGGTGAGCCGTCAGACCATGCCGAGCGAGCACGGTCGCCCCGGGAGAGCTCCGTGTCCTTGTGCTGCCACTCGCACAAGTCACTCGCCTTGTCACTCGCCTGTGCCCGGGCAGGGCTCCCCGCGGGGCTGGGCTGCTGCCAGACTGATACACCCTGAGTGTCTCAGCCGCGTCCCAGCCGCCCTCCCTGCCTGCAGGCAGGGCACGTCAGAGCACAGCCAGCACCCTGCTCCCGGCATCCTCCTGCAGCCCTCCTGCACTTCCAGCCAGGAGAGTCACGGGGCAGTGTGCTGGCATCAGGGGGGATAGGGGCAACCCCCCAGTCCTCACTGCACACTGGTGCTGACCGTGCCGTGTCCGTGTCCCTGCCTGCAGCCCCCTGCCTCAGGCCCATGGGGTGCTGGGGGGCTTGCACTGGCCCTGCTGCAGGGGGAGTTAGAGGAGTGGGACGATGGGTGTGAAGTATCTGCAGGGGCTGGGAGAGGCCCCTGTGCTTGTGGCCCTGGGCGCCTGGAGCATGCTGGGGCTGCTCCTGCTGCAGCCCATCCCTGGTCCTCGATACCCTCATGCGTCCTTCACCAGCTGGCAAGCAGCCTGTTCCTGTTCAGCTTGACAAAGCTTCTTTATGCTCTTCTTCCTCTCCTGAGTGCCCTCCTGTATGTGCCCAGTCCCCCTGTCTGTTCACAGCCCTTGAGCAGTGGGAATGCTGGCAGCACACAAGTGGGGGGGTCAGCAAGCACTAGCTGCTCTGCAATTCACAAATGGATGCCCCAGTACCTGCATCCAATGGACACCCATCCTTCAACTGTAGCAAAGCTCACCTTCGTGTGTGCTGCAGTGGCACCAGGCTGCCTGAGGATTGCTGCCATGGGACAAGGATCACACTCGGTGGCCATCCCCATAGTGCTGGCTGCTCACAGCACCTCAGGAGGTAGTGCTGGCACAAGCAGCTCCACGCTGGTGCACATGATGGGTCACTCCTCTGGGCTGGGTCCTGCATGGCAACAGGGGACACAGGACTGTGTCATGGGGCCATTGGGTGCTGATGTGTGACCCCTCCATTAAAGTGCCTTTGTCCACCCTCAGTGCCAGGAACTGTTTATTTACTTCTTCATGGTGTACAGCAGGGGAATGGCCCAGCAGGGACAGGGGCTGTGCTTGATTTCCACTCCTAAGAGATTATTATAGTGTTGAGAGAAAGCCTGTACAGGCTGGTGGGGCTGGGAGAGGATTAGTGCATTGCTGTTACAGTGGATTGCTGGTCCCGGGACTCCAGCCTGGGCTGAGGGACAAAGAAGGGCTCAGCTATCCAGCAGCAGCAGATGGCTTTTGGAGAGTGTGCTGACACCACAGTGAACTTCTCAATGGAGACCACTGACTGTGTCCTGTGCAATCCACCGCTGGGGTGGGGAGGAGCTTGCTTGGCTCCCTTCAGAGCTGGCTGCTGCAGGACTGTGTCAGCTGAGTTTTTCTTTGTATCACCATCTGCTCCATCAGGGCAGCAGTAAAGTGTCCCCTCTCCTGACCCTGGGGGTGTCTCCATGGCCACTGCCACACCGTCCTGTTACAATACAGGCCCTTGCAATGCAGTCCTTATGGTAGTGTGTGCTGCTCCCCCAGGCAGGTTGAAACTTCTAGTGGGTCCAGCTGGTCCATGGGCCCTTGCCATTCCACTGTTGGCTGGGATATAAAATACCTGTTGTCACCATGATGGTCCCCCAGTGGTCCCCTCTCCATGGAATCATGGAATCATTAAGGTTGGAAAAGACTTCTAACATCATCAAGTTCAACCTTCATTTGCCTTGCTAAGCTGTGCCGGGTCCCCTTTCTTGTCGCACAGATGCTTCTAGCATAATTTCCTAGTGAGATTTAATAAAGCCCTGGGGCTCTCCTAGGGGGTTTCTGGAAGCAAGCCTGCTGACCTCAGTGTGGAACTGGAGCCACCCCTGCCACTATCCCTGGGCCAGTGAATGTCCAGGGCCAAGACCCCACTTCCTCACCAGGATGCTCACGGGCAGCTGCCTCTGGCCTCACCTCCAGTCCTCTGGGACTGGGTTATTTTTCAAAGTGTTCCAAGGACACGGGTTGTTGTTGCCGATAAGCAGTGAGGGGCAGCTCCGCCCCAGCAGGAACAGCTTGTCAGCTGGCTTCCCATCCGCCCCAGAAAACACTGTTCCATCTCAGCCAGCGGCATCCCTGCAAACCTGCCACAGGTTTGGTGACCATCTCCACGATGCCACATTCGGTAAGTGGTGGGGGCCACAGTGCTCGGGTAGTCTGGGGGGCCTGGGATGGGTGGGAGCCACTGTTGGCTCTGGTGAAAACAAGTGAGGTGGTGGAAAGGAAACGCCAAGCCCAGCTCTGCTCTCAAGTGTCAGTGTAAGTCCAGGATAGCCCCACGGATGAGGTGTATCTGCAGGTGGGCATTACTGTGGGGTGGGCAACATCCCCCATCATGAGGCAGCACTGGTAGGTATCCCAAGTAAGGAAGGACTGGCAGAGGTCTAGAGGTCACTGCCTCAAAAAGTGCCTCCCATGGGAACAGGCGTTTAGTCAGGCTGAATATCCCTTGGGCATGTTTGATGCTGCTCTGGTTGCTTGTGGCAAAAGAAGTACACGATGGGCAATTGGAAATACAACCGCTGGAGCCCACTCCCGTTGCCCCTGAGTGCAGAGCAGCCCTGCAGCTTTGTCCCCATCACCCACTGTGTGCAGCACATGCTCCCCTGCCCCAGAGGCTGGCTTTGTGCCCTTGGAGACACATGAGGTTACAGGTTCCACCAAGACTGTTTCCTCCCACAGACACACATGGATCTCACCTCAGTCATTGCTCTGCAGAATGTGGGGATCTTTGGTGAGGGTGGCACCACTCTGGCTGTAGTAGAGCAGGCTGAGACAGAGGGTAAGAACTCCGAGGAGAGATCTGGGAGGGAAGCACTCCCCATTCTTGCCTGTGGGTGCAGATTTTTGCCTTGTCGAGGCAGGGGGTGAGACTTGGCTCCTTCTCCAGTGCAGGCTGGTGATCTGCGTGCTGCTGGAGCTGGGGTCCCTGCTGGTGAGGGGGCTGTCCCCATCCTGTCCCCATACCTGCCAGTGCTACGACACCTCCAAAGTCTTCTGCTCAGACGAGAGGATGCGGGAGATCCCGGCGGGCCTGCCAGGCAGTGCCACACAGCTCTTTTTTGTGGAGACAGCCCTGAGCAGTGTCCGCAGGGGGGCCCTGGGCACCAGTACCACCCTCACCAAGCTGGTCTTCCTCAACAACAACATCCAGGAGCTGGAAGCTGGTGCCTTTCAGGGGCTGCCCAGCCTCACGGAGCTGGAGGTGTCAGGAAACCCCTTGCCAGCAGTCAGTCTTGGGGTGCTGATGGGGTTGACCAGCCTCAGCAAGCTCTCCCTGGGTGCCAATGCCATCAGCTCCTTGCAGCCAGGGCTCTTCACCGCTGCATGCCACCTGCAGGACCTGCGCTTGCTGGGGAACAGGATTGTGGCATTGCCCCCTGGTATCTTCCACCCACTCCGGCGGCTCCAGGCCCTGGATCTCTCGCAGAATGTCCTGGTTGAGCTGCCAGAGGGGCTGCTGGCCCCACTCATCACCCTCCGCCTCCTCAAACTCAGTGACAACCTCCTGGTGAGGGTGTCCCCCAGTGCTTTCAGGGCACTTGGCCAGCTGACTGAGCTCCACCTGGATGGTAATCGGCTGGAGGAGCTGCCACCTGGCATCTTCACCGGGCTTGGGAGGCTGCAGCGGCTGCATCTGCAGCACAATGCCCTGGGCAGCCTGGCCCCCGACATCTTCACTGGTCTCCTCAACCTCACTGTCCTCAGCCTGGAGGGCAATCGCTTGGCCACCCTGCCTGCCACCCTCTTCACTGGCACACCTGGCCTCCTCCACCTCTCGCTGGCTCGCAATCAGCTGAAGACGCTTCCCCAGGAGCTCTTCTCCAACCTGTCGGTGCTGCAGACCCTGGTGCTCTCACACAATGCCATGGGCCACCTGCCCACTGAGGTTTTCCAGGGACTGGCAGCACTGACAGCACTACAGCTGAGCCACAACAACTTCTCCAGCCTGCCAGCAGGGCTCCTGGCTGGGCTGCCCCTCCTCACTGCCCTGGCACTGGACCACAATCGCCTGGTCCACCTGCCCCTGGGGCTCTTCGATGCCAATGATGAGCTGGTGCGTGTGGGGCTGTCTGACAATCCCTGGAACTGTGACTGCCGCCTTGCCTATCTCCTGCGCTGGCTCCAGGGCTTTGCTGAGCCCCTCATCCATGGGCAAGCCTTCTGTGCCAGTCCAACTGCTCTCCAGGGACAGTCCCTGCTGGAGGTCCCCCGGGGGCAGCTGGAGTGCCTGGGAGGACCTGGTGGCCCTGCAAAGAAAGGCTGGGACAGGGATACTCCAGGACAGTGCACCTACAGCAACCCCGAGGGCACTGTAAGCATGGTTTGTGATGCCACAAGCTGCCAGCAGCTCACCCTTCGCCTCCCTCCTCCTCCTCCCGAGCAAGTGCAGGGGTTGAGGCCGGCGTACCAGGGTGCCTGGGTGCTGCACTCCCACTGTGGCACACTGCAGGTCAGTGTCCTTGTCACGGCACAGAATGGGAATGAAGCCACATCGCCAGGTCTCCCTGCCACGCCCTAGAGCTTGGGTAGGTGCCAGCTTCTGCACTGGAAACCTCTGAGCCAGCCTGGGAAACAGCACCCACTCTTGCTCTGCTACCGCTGCCTTGGTCACCAGCCATCACTGAGCTCTCCACAGCAGCTGGCCTGGTGGTACTTATTCTCCAAGCTATGTGTTTCCTGTATATTTCAAATATAATTAAAATTTATATATCATTTCTGTGCAACCAGTTCCTGTGGCAGAGAGAGGAATGGTTCTGTTCCCCCACATCTGCCTGTGCATCTGGGAGAGGTGGTGAAGGTCGATGTGATCTTTTGGGGTCTGGTGTGGGGTTGTGCACGGTGTGGTGTGGTGCAGGTGCATGGTGGTGAGTAGGCGGCTCTTTGGCATGCTCACAGTGTTCTTATCTCTGCCCACTGCAGCCCACCAGCCCCACCTCCTGCCCTGCAGAGACCCAGCTGCAGCCTGGCAATAACTCTCAGGGCATGGTTTTGGGGTGTCCAAGGGACACGTGGGTGAGTGCTACTGACTACCCAGCAAGGGACATGGGCTGCCTGGCTACAGGGTGAGCTCCAGCCCAGCTGTCCACCGGCTGGTCCTCCCCATACCCTGCCAGGGCTTGGTCCGCAACCCTGCAGCCTGGAGCTGGAATGCAGGAAATTCCACCTGAAGAGGAGGAAGAACTTTACTGCGAGGGTGACTGGAAGAGGTTGCCCAGCAAGGCTGTAGAGTCTCCTTCTCTGAAGATACTCAAAAGCCGCCTGAACAAAGCCTTGAGTAACGAACCCCAGAGAACTTCAGCAGCAGAGGTTGGATTAGATGACTTTCACTGGCCCCTTCCTCGGCTATCCTGTGATGCTGATTCTGTGACCCGTGGAGAGGAGGCACAAAGTCCCAGCAGCGCTGCCCACGCAGGGGATGCCAGGTAAGGTGGATGCTCCCGCGGGACGAGCGGGCGTGGGTGCACACACGGGGGTGTAAGTGCGTGTGTGTCTGTGCGTGTGGGTGGGGCGGTGCTGCGGCTCCACCTCGCGGCGACAGGGACAGGGCTCCGCGGGTCGGGCAGTGCCGGGGGATCCCTCCCTGAGCCCCGCCGCCCTCCTCGGAGTGCCCCTCCCGGCCTGGCCCCAGCGGCGAGGGTACAGGGGGCCCTGACTGGGGCTGCGCTGGTTCCACTGCTGGACTGTGTGTCCTTGGAGCCCCTGCCCTGCTGCTGCCCACCTGGGATGGGCAGGATCTCTGTGCCACGTTGCCCCACCTGCCCTGGCAGCGGGCTGTGATTCCAGCCTTGCTTTAACCTCTGGATTAAAGAAATGTGTGTATGTGGCATGTAGGGACATGTTTTAGTGGTGGACTTGTCAGTGCTGGGCTAACAGTTGGACTCGGTGATCTTAGAGGTCTTTTCCAACCTACATGGTTCTATGACTGCCAGCCCCATGCTCCTGGGAGCAATGCAGATGGGCAACACTGCTTCCCAGACACAATTCTGCACAGTCATCCTGCTGTCTCTCCCAAACAGGGGACTGCCACTGTGATTCAGACATCTCCCAGGAGATGCTGGCATGGCCACCTCCAAGCTTGGACCAAGGGTGCTGCAGCTGGATGCAGTTCCCCAAACCCTGGCACAGCTGCCACACTGTGGCCTGGGGTGGCTGTTGGCAATCCTGTTGTGAGCTCTGTCCCCTCATGCGCTTCAGCTCCTGCTACTCTGCAGCTTCTGGAACAGCCTGGCACCAAGTGGGTACTGGGATACATACGGCATTGATGTTGGAAAGGAGTGAAGCTGCTGAAAATGTGCAGTGGTTTGTTTTTGAATTTGACAAGAAAGGTGCAATGAAGCCCAGCAAGCACAAGCTGAATCTTAATAAGTGCAGGTGAAAGCTAAAGAAAACATGCTTATATGCAATCAGTGCAATTACCTGTTGGGAAGTGATGGATATCCTGTCAGTTCAAGTCTTTGCATCAAAAAGGTTGTTTCTTCCCACAGGATGCCCTGCACTAGCCAGCAGCCCTGGGTGTCCCTGCAGGAGGGTCTTTTGCCTGTGTTAGGGTGCAGGACAGGACGCTCAGCCCCAGCCCTCTGGTGTGGAGCTGTGGGGCTGAGCACAGACCGTGGGCATCGGCATATCTGTCCAGCCACAGATGTTATCGCTGTTATGAGCATAAACAAATGGCTTCAAAACTGCACCTTTAGCTACATAAGCTGAATGTTGAGGAAGGAAACAGCTTCCTGTTGTGTCAGTGGGGGTGGTACCTATGAAGCTGGTGGGTTACGCTGCTGGAGATACAGGACTGCAGAGACCGTTGGCTGCAAAACAGGCTGGCCTGGAAATCTTCAGGTTTGCCTGGATGTGACCAGTCAAGTGGCGCCAGGAGATAACGCCTGGGGAGTGCGTGACTGAGTCCTCTCCGAGGGGTTTCTGCTGTGGCCTCCCACACCAGGGCACAGCTCTGCTGCCGCCTTCCCTGCCATCCCTTATCTCCCCACGCAGACCTGTGCCCTGACCTCATGTGAAACCAGGCCCTGGGCCTGGGCTGTGGATAAAGAACTGGCCAGGTGATGGGTCCCCCATCCGGTGTCCTCACTCCACACATGGCGTGGTTTGTTCCTGCAGCGTGGACTTGTCTGTGAGCGCTTGGCCGAGTAAGTGAAGCAAAAGCTTTTTTCGCTCTTTAAAATGTGCTGGGAGGGGCCCTGTGGGGGGCTGTTTATTGTTTCCTTGCAGCAAGAAGCAGGAGAGGTTGCAGTGCCATGAGCTGGGTGGGGATGCCTCTTCATGACCTTGCACTGCTGGGGGGTGGGACAAACAAGGGATCACACTGAGGGTTTTGAAAGAGCTTTACAGTTCAGAACTGTCTGTTTTCATCCCCGTGCACCCAGCTGTTTCAACCTGCACATTTCACCCACTGTGCTGCTCCTCCAGCTGAAGTGAAGCAGACAGTTTTACATCTGCAGACCTCCACCTGAGTCTCCCTGAGGGCAGGGACTAGCAGTGGCTTCTGCCTTGGGCAACCCTGCAGGGCAGCCTGCACAACCAATGTCACCACCTCCCATCAGTTTCTCTTCAAACCCAGTGGTTTTTAGCCTCGTGTATTTGCTGACCTATCAACATTTTAAAAAAATAACTTCTCATAGCTAATGTACCCTCCCAACGTAAGTTTTTTGGATGTCAGCTTTGACAGACACCAAGAAGCAACTTGCAGCTCTTTTCCCTGCTCCCACCCAGGGTTGTGAATCAAAAGTTGGAAATCCCAGTGCAATGCTCACGGTCGTTAAACCCCAGCTAATGTGTTAGCTGAATGTTTCCAAATGTTTCCGTGGAAGTGGTGGGCTCTAATAGTGGGTGTGCATCAGTCACTTCACTTTCTAACTGTAAGGCCAGAGCCGTAAATGTTAGGTATTAAAAGAGTTCATCTATGGACATTTCATGGTGTTCTAACAAGCCTTGCTCTAAAGCTTGGTGGCTGCTCACAAGTTAACCATTTCTGCCTGACAGAGCTGCATAACCAAGGCCAAAATACGGTACAATTACCAAGAATCCTGAAAAGGAGATGCTTAGGAGCCATGTTTTAAATGATCCCCCCAAACTGAGAGAAGCAGCAAGGAAATAGCAAGCCCACCCAGCATAGTGTGGAAATTCTGAATACACAAGATCCTCTGGTCTTGGCTGGCTCCTGGGACCCTTGTTGATCCCTCATTAGAAAGTGCAGGGCTGACTGCTCCTGTTGTGGTATGAATGGGCTGTTGCCCTGCTGACTAACTGGACCCACTGGGGCAGCACTAACGGGCAGTAGCACTTTGCCTTCTACACCCAGGCAGACACTGAGCCTACAGCTGAAACATGGGAAAAGGAGGGCAGAGAACACCCTATCCAGCCCTTATTCCCCTGCAGCATCTCCCAGTGCCAAGCCAGGAGCTGGCTTGCTCTCCCTCTCCATCCCTCTGTACCCACAGCAGTGAACTCTTCTAAATGCAGTGTGTGTTTGCTTGTATGGTCTTTCTCTTTCTTATTGAATGCGTTATGAGATGTGAATAGAAGAGTCCTGAGAGGTGGACAACAGTGTGATGCCACGATTCGTGACTGTGGACAGAGGTTTTCTGTTCTTCATAACTGATTTTTTTTTAAACCTTTTTTTTTTTTTTTTTTTTCAGGACAATGTACCAGGATTTCCTTTTCCTTTTCTTCCTCTCCTTCCATCCCCATAAATGCCAAGATCAAAGCCTGGTTGAAAATCCATATGAAATGCCCAAAGACTATCAGCAGGTCTACAGAGGGACAAAAAATGATGTCAAAGAGATCCCAAAGGTTGCAAAGCCCTTCATTTCTGAAGTGATCTTTGTGCAAACCAGCATCACTGCTATAAGGAAAGGTGCCTTCAGGTACATGCCCAACCTGATAAAGATTTTGTTTATTGGCAACAAGATCAAAACAGTTGAACCTGGAGCCTTTGATAATCTGGACAACCTGAGGGACTTGGATATCTCTGGTGCCTCGTTAGAAGCACTGTCTGTGGGCACTTTCCAAAACCTCCCAAGCTTACAGAGGCTGGAGTTGAGAGACAGCCAACTCAGATACATCCCCAAAGGCCTGTTTGATGGGCTGGAAAATTTGGGAGAACTCTCCCTGCACATCAATGCAATCCCTTCTCTTCCAGAAGGCATTTTTGATTCTCTCATCAATTTAACCTTTTTGGACCTGTCTAGGAACAGGATCACAACTCTTCCTGTGAATGCCTTTAGCAAACTTACCCGGCTTCAAGTCCTCCGGTTGTATGAGAATGAGTTGCAAGACCTCCCAGAGGGACTGTTGGACAGTCAGCTGGAGCTGCTGGAGCTTAGCCTCCAGAGCAACAGGCTCAGGGCGCTGCCATCCATGTTCCTCAGAAGCCTGCCTCACCTGGAGAAACTCCTCTTGGACAATAATCTTATTAGGGTTCTCCCACCTCAGGGTTTTTTTGGTTTAAACAAATTGAAGCTGCTGACTCTGGGTTCAAACCATATCATGGAGCTCCCCTGCTGCCTTTTTGACACCATGCCATACTTATGGGAGCTGGACCTGGGCAGGAACAGTTTGGCCACACTTCCAGATGGCATCTTTGTCAACCTTACATCCCTTGGAAAACTCATATTGTCCCACAACCAGCTGTTAGCCCTGTCAAGAGGAGCTTTCATTGGGCTCAGTAAGCTCCTGGACCTCCAGCTGGACACAAATCAGCTCTCTGCTCTGGATGAAGAGGTCTTTGCTTCTCTCCCAAATCTGAAAACCCTCAACCTTCGAAAGAACCAGCTGGAGAGTGTTCCCCGAGGGCTCCTGGACCCCCTGAAGAAGCTCAGCTCAGTGTATCTGAGTGGTAATCCATGGAGATGTGACTGCAACCTCTGCTCCCTGCGCAGCTGGATCCTGGGTAACAGTGAGAAGGTCAAATTGTCCACCCAAGTCTCATGCAAGAGCCCACCCCACCTGGCAGGGCAAGCAGTAACATTGCTGAGGGATGACCACTTAATCTGCCCAGCTACTCTGCCTTTTTCAGCTTCTTTTATCCCCTCTCTGCCATTTAACTCCACATCATCACAAAGGATGTCAACTTTGCCATCACTTGGAGGTTTGTCCACAGCAACGCCAACCTTGCTGTCATTGGCAGCCTTTCCCATCAGGACACTGACAACTGTTCTGTCACCTGTGGGCACCTCTGCCATGTTGCCAACTGTGCCAAAGGAGGACACCTTCACCACTCCATTGCCTACTGTGCCATCTAAGGCCTTTGTCACCACCTCACCATCAGCTGTGCTGCAGAAGGCCTTCAGCAACAGCCCATCAACAACCAGTGTGGCCAAATCCTTCATCACGACACCATCAACAACCATGGTGCCAAAGGCCTCCATCACCACCCCATTACCAGCTGCGCTGCCAGAGACCTTCAACACACCAACAACTGTGCTGCCAACAGCCTGTATTGCCACACCATCATCATCAACTGTGATGCTCAAGGCTTTCATCACCAGCCCATCACCAGCTGTGCCAGCTTCAGCCATCATAAGCCTACAGTCTCCTGGGGCCACCCACCTAGAACCTGTGCCATCCACTCTAGCTTCTGCCACCACACAGGTGCCAACCAACCCATCGGCAGCCACCACCAGACATGTGCTTCCTGTTCTTCTGGTGCCCACCAGACCATTGGCAACCACCACCAGACAAGTGCCTCCTGCTCTTTCAGTGCCCAGGGAGAGGCCAGCCACCATCCCACAGGGAACACCCATAACCTCCCTTGTCTCAGCCCCCTCCATGGCACTCTGGCCATCCCCCAGGACTGCTGCGCATGGCACGGTCCCATTGGCCTCACACTCCCCATCCCACCATGCTCCTGCACCAGGCAGGGAGCGGGACCATGCCACCACATGGGACTCATCCCCAGCTGGCTCCCAGCCCACCCCCAGTGCCCCCCAGCACGCTGCTGCCCCGGCAGGCACCGTCCTTCTCCCAGTGCCTCCCATCCCCCTGCCGCCAGACCACATGAGCCCCTGCCCGGCCTCCCCTCCCCTGGCCCCCAGCGGTCATCGTGCCTGGGGCTGGTCCCTGCGAGCCAGTCCACGGCAGTGCCGACTGTCCCTGGCCCTGGGGCTGGCCGCGCTGGCGCTGCAGGCAGCCTGCCTGCTGCTGTGGGGGATGCTCGTCCACCTCCTTCACCAGGGCACCCGACACTGCCCCAGGCCTCCTGTGAGGCTGCTGAGCCTTCAGTTCCTGGGTGATCCGGGGACCCCTGAGCCAGCCCAGGCACCACTTTAAGCTTCGCTACCCCTGTGTGACCTTGGCTGTGCTCGTTGTCCTCCTTTGGGATCTGAAGCTGTGCTGGCCACAGGGTGCACGTATCCCTGGGGCTGGGGACCCGGCATCCAGACCGTCCCCAGGGTGGGGTCCTAGAAGTCAGGCCGTTTCCAGGGTGGGGGTCCCAGTAACCAGGCCGTTTTGGGATGCCTTCCAGCTGACCGCCGGCGATACTCGGAGCCTGGAAGCCCATATGCGGTGTCCCTGCCTGACGGTCCTTCTGTCAAGCGACACTAGATGGCATCACGACACAGGCAGTGGCTGCCACTGCCTTCCCGCGACCACCGAAATCCTGGAGCCCCTGCACACATCGGCCAGGATCTGCCACACCGCGGACACGACCACTCTTGCTCGCAGGGTCAGAAGCCCAGGCCTAAATCTCCTTGCCAACCCTGGAAGGTACCTGCAGTCCTCGGGGAAAGACATGCCAAGGCTTCCTGCCTCGTGCTGTGTCTTCTTCTCCGTGCACCTTATGGGATGTGTCAGTGCCTGTACCCCCATCATACACAGACCTCTTCCCCTATTCTGTTCTTTTTCCTCCTCCCTGATATTAAAGCCCCCCCTGCACCTCCAGGCTGACAAGAAGATAATTTTCATCCCATTTTTCTTGCCACGACCTGCTGTGGGGTTTTCCTGTTGCTTCCTGGAGCGTGGGGTCCCCAGTCAGTGCCAGCCATTGGGGACTGGTGTAGGACCAGGGCTGCACACCCTCCACAGGCAGCAGCACAGTGAGACAACAGATATGCTTTTCTTCCCCCTCTTAAACCTCATGTTCCCCAAAACCTCTTGAGAAGGCTGCTTGCCCTGGCCCCTCTGGTAGAGTGATGTTTCATCATGGCCAGCCATATTCTTCTCTACCATGACCTCATCTGATGCTGAGCCCCTGCTTCAGGCCAAGCACTGGCTCTTGGGAAGCTTGGGAGGAAGGGGCTAATGCTCCTCACCGCTGAAAAGTTGATGTGTGCCTTCACCTCCACTGTCCTAGGCTCCTGCCAGGCCTAGGGAAATGGCAAACTTCAATAAAGGTGTGCTTTCTGCTATTGCAGAAAGTGCTGAAACCTTCCCTAGGAAGCTTTAGTCCAGAATTTGAGCCAATGAACACAGGGGTTGTTCCCTGATTTGGGTCTCTAGGTAGCTTTTTGGCTCTAGGCTCAGTGTTTACTTTTCCCTGTGCTAGGTAAGCTGCTCCCAAATTTAATCACTCCAGTTTCTACAGAGTTGCAGGTGTCTGTCTTCAATTCCTTGCCTTTGCCACCAGCACCTGCTCTGTCCTGTCCTGCCTTTGGGTGTTCTTCTCATGTTGTGGGGCTGCCTGACTTTGGGGGGTCCTAGGGGGAAAGTCCCTGAAAATCAATAGACTGGACATGTGTTTTGCAAGGAAAAACAGGAAAGCAGCTCAGAAGTCTCCTGACCAGCAAGCCCTAAGCCTAGTGCTCAGTTCCCTGAGCCCGGTTCCCTTGCCTGGCGTGAGACCAGGTAAGGGGGAAAGGGGCTTTGTGTTAGGGTATGTGCCTGCAGCTATGCATTAGGGACCTGGATATATGTCTTCACTAAGAGCCTATGCAGTGTTACAGGCCCTTCGGCTATTCCTTGAAGTCCTGCTTATGGCTGTGAAATACAGGAGGTGAGTGTGGGGCGGCGCATCTGGGTGGGATGGAGTGAGCGGCTTCGGGGCCGGGGCTGGCACGGCAGGTAATGAGATACAGATGAGGGAGAGGGAGAGTTTTTTTCTGGCAGTCCAGATGGACTCAGCTTCATACTTGATTTAGAGGGTTTGAAAGTGGGGCCTGGCTGCCGGGGAACAGACCCCGAGCACTTCCCAGGGCAATGAGGGGGGGGGGTCTCCACTGGTTTTTTGGATATTTAATGGCCCAGCGCAGTCTAAACAGGGAAGTACTTCAGGGTGAGATTAGCACAACATAATCACATCTTAAAAGGTCTTCAGAGACACAAGGCATGTCCGCTCTCATATTAATTACTTGTTATTAATAAAGCTGGGGTTGGTGTTCTCTCCGGAGCAGGCTGGTTCCCTCCTTGCAGAGCAGTGGTGTATCTGAAGGCAGCACAATGCCTTGCAGCCTCCACCTGTGCCCATCCGGCTCTGGAAACTAAATGGCCAACATTCCTACAGCTGCCTTTAAAACTAATTTGCCCCATAATACCCCGAAAGGGCCATGTCTTTCTAAGTGCCTAGAACACCTCTGAGTGCTGTAAAATAATGACAGCCAAGGGTGTTCTCAGCACGGGAATTTCCTGCTATGATTGATTTCTAATTTGTAATGAAAATACAGCTGCCCATGTTCCCGGGGCCAGGCTGGTGCAGCTGGCTCACAGGCAGCTCCCTCCGTCATATTAGGGACAATCCTTAGAGGGCTATTGCTGGACTGGAGTGCCCAAGATTGCTCACACTCTGAACAAAATATCACCTCCTTTTGCTCTTCCTCTGCTTGCTGCTCCTTGCATAGGATGCCCCTGGTTTTTGCTTTGGAAAAAAAAAAAGTGTGAGCATCCCTGCGTGGCATCTCCAGGCTGCTTGTGACACTGTACATCTCTTCCCGGTTGCTGTGATTGCCCGAGGTCCTAGTAGCTCACCTCAGGTGACCAAAGTTAGAAGCAGAGACAGGACACCATGCATGTGTGTCCTAGAGTGGCGCTGGGATCAGGGGTCTCCAGCACGGGCTGGAAGTTTCAGAGCTGCCACTGGCTCTCTTCCTGCCCTATGCAGGTGAGAAGTGGTTCCCACAGCTCTGTCACTCATGCTGCAATGCCAGCCTGTAACCCCTCTGCCTGTCAGCCCTGCTGGGAGCCCCCCACGCTGTGGATGTGTTCCTTCCACCTGCCTCTGTTCCCCTTCCTGCCCCTGGGGCACCCCATGGGCAAGAAAGAGGCTTCTGAGAAAGAGCCCTTTATTGTAGTGGGAAGTGGGGCAATGAACACCTGCATGAGGGGATTTGCACAATAACCTGGGTGAGCAGCAAGCCTGGGCTTTTGGCAGGCAAGTTTCACTGCTGGCTTATGATAGGAACCTGTCCCAACTAGTGGCCACGCTGCCATGACTTCCTCACGGGGTTCCTGCCTCATGTGCCTGTCCCGAACACATGCAGAGCTGGAGCAGTGGCTGCTAGTGTGGTTTGAGTGGCATGGAAGAACTGGGGGCTGGCTGCTTTGTGTGCTGTGGGCAAGGCAAGAAGGGGCTGGTTTGGCACCTCGTCCTGTAGGAGCAGGGAGGTGCTGGCGATGCTGCTGGAAGAAGTGGGATGTGTGACAAGGGATCTTCAAGTTGAGGACATAAGCAGGGGTAGGTCCCTGGCAGGGGCAGCTGCAGCTGCTGGCATCAGCCTCAGAATTGGCTAGGCAGGCAAGTGCAGTACTCATTCACCCCCTATTTGCTCAGCAGAGATGGCCCTGGGATGGCAGTCATTGCTCAGTGTTGCTGTGCTCCCTCGATGCTGGTTTTGAACACCAGCATGTGTTCCATGTGTCTTGGATGGTTTGTCTCCCCCTCTTCACCCTTCACCTGCAGCATCCTTCCCCACACCCACTCACAGTACCCATCCAGCCACATCAAGCTGCCCCTTGCCAAGGAGCCCCATGAGACAGGGACAGGAGCTGCACTGGGACATTCATTCACCTGCTTTGGCCTTGGCATCTCACAACACTCCTGCAGCGGGGGCCCAACCTCCCCTGGGGCACATGGGGCAGCAAGAGGACACCCAGCATGGGGAACAGGGCTTGAAGGCAGGGGGAAGGCTGGCACTGTTGGCACTCCCATCCCGCCTGCCTCATGCCTTGGGCTGCCCAGGCTTTTATCCAGGGTTTTGGGCAGAGCATGAGGGTGAGGGCAAGAAAAACAAGCCAGTGCATCCACCCTCGAGCAGTGGGAGAGCCCAGAGAGGCGGAAGTCTCTGTTTGTTTAAGGTGCAAACAAGTGCTGTTAATCTGCTGCCTGTTTGTATTTCTTTAGAGTCTCTGAGTGTGGGGGGTAGTGGAGATGGGGTCTCCTCTTTGTGCGGGGGCAGGGTCAGGCTATTGGAAGTAGAGGTGAGAAAACACAGAGGTGCAGCTGGAACCTGCTTCTGGAGGGAAAGATTTTTTTTGGCTATTTATGATAATTAGTGGGAAACGTTCCTCAAGCGTTTCAGATGATTCTGTAATGAAGTTGGACCGAATGTTTTCGCTTTGTTCCCCTGGAACCATTAAAAATCTCCCTTCTTTGGTTGCCTTAATGCAGTGCTGAAAAGGCACAATGGCATAAAAGGGGCTCTGGGCAGGGCGGCACGCCTCCCACCCTGCCAGATAGAGCCCTTCAGAGCCCAGATTTTCTGGGTTATAAAACCTCAGCACTCGCAACGTTCATGCAAAAGCTGCTGTGGATCCCGTGCCCAGGGTTCCTTCACATCCCTGACGTGGGTGGGGGTGTGTGAGCACCAGCTTGGTGTGCTCGGGGGGAGCAACAGCCGGCACAAACACACTGGAGTGAGAAAGGGCAAGCACAGCCAGGGATGCCATCTCTCCTCTGGTATAGCAAAGCCGCTTTCAGCCTGTGGTCGTTCTGGGAATTTGCTGGGGTGAAATGCTGTGCTGGGAGAGGACCAGTGTCCATGCAAGGGGAAATGGGGAGTCCAGCCCAAAGGAAAGTCCTTCTGAGTCAGTGGTGTTCTGGGCCAGATCCTGCTCTATCTGCTGGGCCAGGCAGCAGCCAGGCACCAGCAGAAAGCAAGGGGCCTGAAATCCAGCCATGACCCTCCAGGTGAATCATTAGCAGTCTCCTCTGAGCTGGCTCAGTCTCCTCTTGCTTTTAGCAGTGGAAAGCTCTTCCAGCATACGAAATGAAAAGAAAATCCACCTGCCTGATCTCACACATCTATCAGCACTATTTCCCCAGGGATGATGTATAAAGCTAATGGGAGCTCCCCTGTTAAAGCTGTGATAAAAGAGGAAATGGCAAGAGCTTTTAGCAT